AAGTCTCAATAGTTGTTATAAAGTGTGAATCTTGTTTTATTTTGACAAAACAGACAAAAACTGATGTTTTTGACTTGGCAGTCTTTTTAATAGCATCTTAACTTTTTTGACAGCATATTTCAGACATGACAACTTTCATCACGTTCTCAAAATTCCAACACAGATGAAGTTGAACATTATCCACAAGTGGTACTGTGATGATTCCCAGGTTCAAACTTCAGTAATACAACAGTTGCTCTGTATTATATGAGTAATACTCTGTAAAATACTCTGTATTACATGAGTATTACTGTGCCACTAAGTCTGTTTTGTTGTGTCTGCTAAATATTCTGATAAACATTCATGAAAAACTGCATTCTTGGTGGAATAATGATTTTTCAAAAAATAGTACATTTATTACAAATATTACATTTTTGTTGCTGTGTGTTTATTTTATGAAACCTTGGAATTTATATGTAGTAAACATTTAGTAAAAGCAATAAGCCCTGTGAAGCCGTAGTTTACAGTGATTTTAGAACAGATAAGGGGATTTTAAGCACTTTGCTCTGCATTGTAGCAACTGACAGCAGTCTGTTCAATTTCTGATGAACCAAATGAAGTCTTACCTTACATTTTTTTCTAGTTTGAGAAGTCGTTTCACTCAAATATACTTCACAATTGGAGAGAAATAACGAACACAACTTTAAGCATGTTTCCTTACCAGTAATTTATGGAAGTAAGTTTTTGGAAGAAAAAAAAAAAAGTGAGAAAATTACAAGTTGAATTACTGAAATAAATGAACTTTTCCACGACATTCTAATTTATTGAGATGCACCTGTAGTCACCTTTTGAAACTTAAAAAAATATAATATACAAAGCCATAATTGAGAAAAATAAACATTCACATTGTGAGACAAAGTCACATTATGAGATATAAATTGCATTGTGAGATTTAAAAGTCACATTATAAATTGTATAATTTGCATTATAAATAGTCAATTATCAATTCAAAATTATGAGAAACAAATTTGAAATTGTGAAAGTATACAAACTGTATATATATATATATATAAAAAAAAAAAAAAAAAAGATGTTTCGATGTTTCGAAATCGGGCTGATATTTTGCAGATGGTTTGGTAAGCTATTGAAACACGTATATAGTACATCAGAAAACAGTTTACGGTCATTTAGGTGGTAAAATGATCAAAAAGAGTGTGTAATTTTTCATGGCATAATGATTAGCCCCATGTCTTCCAGGCATTAGACATCTAATACATTCTTCCTTTTGAACCATTAGTTCTTTCTCTGCTTGCAAAGTCAATCAGGTCATTAGTCAGAACAGAAAGTGCTGTAAAACTCCTGGTGCATATACTAGCTGGTACAAGAAAGCACTACTTTAGGTTAAAAGTGACACTTTTACTGCAGTGCATGCCCTTACTCTGAGCTTGGTAATGGTTTTATCTTTTGTCACCTAATACTTGGATTTGTCTGAGGAAAGCCAGCATTTGCAGTGCATTGGAGAATTTACTCTATTATCCAGTGTGCATGTTTTATCATTGATTTAGGGTTAGAAGTTAAGTTATTATGGCCATTTTGGACCATTTACTATACTTCTAAACCAATCCAAACTCTCAAAAGTGAATTTACAGGGGTGAAAACTTTTGCTACTTTAGCCTGCAGTTAGCTTACTTGCTAACCACCCACAATTCAGTTCAACCACACACTGTAGTTGTATCACACACCATACAGAAATAAATCATGTCATTGTCATTCTTTACAGCACAAACTAGCTATAGTTGCGTGTGTGTTTGTGTAACAGTTTCTGTGTAAATGGACTGCTTTGCGACGCAAATATTACAGCTCGCTAGTTTTCAGTTATAGCTATATATATATATATTCAATATGATGTAGTCACGTAGTTGGTTAAATGCCACTTAAATTAAAGACGATTTAGAAATGCTGACATTTTCAGGGACAGGAGAAGAGGGGATGTTCGTGCGATAGAGCCTATTTACACGATAGAGCCTATTTTTTAAGTGAAAATAGCATATTTTCTTAGCGATAGATGCTATTTACACTAAGTGAAAATAGCAGTATTTTTAGTGATATGTTATTTACACTGCAAATAGCTAGATTCTATTTATACTATGTTAAAATAGCAGGATATTCTGCTAATTACTTATTGCAAATAGTGGCAATTATCTGCACCTCAGCATTGTAATACATTATAAAACAGTATGCAATAATAACTTGAGTGTAAATTTTAATTTTAATTAAAATTATTAAATGGATGCCACCTTATTAGGACAAAAGCCCTCCCTTCACTAACCCTACCCGATACTTTATTTTCAACTTTTTGATTATTTCCTTCATTTTTATTAAAAATAAATGCTTTTCTGATGTGATTTGAAGTTTGAAAAGGGAGAAAAAAAAGTTCGCCAAAAGGCAGATTCAAACCCGCGTCGATCGCGTCAAAAGAAGTATGACATACACTTTACCATGTACGCCACTGATTCTGACTGATGGAGATGGTCGCCGTGATTTTGCCAAGTAAGACATGTTCCTGGATCAACATCTTTTGTTGATCCTGGATCAACTTTACTATCCAATAATATAGACTAAACCCAATTCCTACACCTAAACCTAACCCTACACATAATTTATTCCTAAAATCAGTGTGAAATGATAGCTGATTAACAAGGGCGTGGAAGCACCTAACCCTGATCTTAAGCGTAAAACAGATATTTCCTGAAAAGTTATCCCTCAATTCTGATTGGTTAAGTCACATGACTTTTTTGATGCGCTTGGAGGAATTTATTCGCAAAATGCATTTCCATCTCCCATTATTCGCATCAACCCTTTTTCGCACAAGACAAAAACCACCTCAAGCGAGCGTAAAAACTTTTTTGTGAATTAAGGGATTTTTATTCGAAATTTGGCGTTTCCATCACTCGTTTCTCATGCAATACTTCAAAATGCGCATTAAAATAGGGTGATGGAAACATAGCTAATGTTACATTTCTTCAAGGTACCGTATTGATTCAACTATTTTAGATAAGAAAACCAACACAAGCAAATGCTGTTTATCAGTTAAATTCAATTTTAAATGAAAAGTCAACTGTAACAAATTTCAGTTTAATATAACTAGAAGTGGATGACACTGGAAGCCTTGCACAGTCAAGGAAAAGGTAATGCATCCCCGCTCTTACATTAAAAACGAGGTGGTTTAACCATCTACAGAAATTTGGAATAGATGTTCATGAACATTTTCTATTGATTGTTGGAGCAGAATTCAACAATTTGGTGACGGCATAAACTATAGAATGCATAGCAACTTCTAGGCCTCGATACTATCATACTAAACTGTCGCTATCATTTATTTATTTATTTTGATTGAGCTGCATATGTTCCATTTTTGAGCATTTTTCCACGCATTTTGAATAGAGCGTGCCTTTATCCGTTCTCTACACTTCCAGACTCTCATTAGACTCATTGTCTAAAGATCACATCCTGTTTATTTGTAAAAAATAAATAAATAAAAAAAATAAAATAATAATGGGCCGGAGTGCGAATTCACAAACAGGCCAATTAAAGGAAGCTATTCATTTAGTTGCATTTGTCAAAGGGCTCAGGCAACAATTAGTACTATTAATGCAGTCTTGTCACATGTCGCCATGCCACATGGAATAGCTTCTCACAAGCTGCTCCATGGATCCCTATCAAACCAAATAATTCATTTGGCCCCAGCAGCCCTCACTATGCTAAAATCCCTCTCTTTCTCTTTGACAGAGAACAAGCCTGCGGGGGGAACCATGCTTTCTATGAGGGGACTGTCAATTCTTCTTAGAAGCTGTGTCATGCGCATGTGTGGTTTGCATAGACGTGTACTAATGCATTTAAGATATTGGCGTATGATTGTCTAAGTAATGTGACACAAGCTCTTACGCTTTAGCAAAATGGGGTGTTGTGTTTAGTTCGGCGTGTGTGCTTGATTTGATACATGCGCGCTGGAGGAGAATAAATCTCTCACTTTGTTGAAATTGGCATGAAGAGGTATTCGTGCAAATGAACAAGACTCTGGTTTTGATATGTGCATGGATACACATGTATATGCATATAACAGAAGTACATAATAATACAATGCAACTCAAATCACCAACATGCTTGTGCTAATACTAAAGTAAATAAATGCCGTGTGATTTCTTATTGTTATAATCACCTCAAGTGCAACTAAAACAAAGAAGGCACTATCAAAACGGTCTGTCATGAAAGGAAAACAGTTTATTCATGTTTGAAATTACACATAACTACCACAAGGAAGACTTTTCAGTCCAGGGTGTAGTCTGGTTAGAAAGAAACACGAAACATCTTTAATACATTAGAACCACTGCCACAAATAAATTTTGTATGACTTTTTTTTTTATCAGTTTCAGAATCACATACGATACAAAAAAAGAGAAAGAAAGTTGGAACCCTGTCACACAGGGTTTTGAAATGTACAATTCTGAATACTGAAACCTCTATGCATTACAGGTTTTCTTTCTTCTTTTTTTTTTAATCTTGGGTTTTTGTTTATAATTTTTTTATTTCTTTTTTGCATGAGAGAGAGAGAGAGAGAGAGAGAGAGAGAGACAGAGAGAGCAGATTTCTTACAAGATGGAACGAATCTAACAAAAGTAAAAAAAAATGTATTTTAAAAAGACAAAAAAAGGATGACAGAAAGTAAAAGACAAAAAGGGTGCAGGTGGTGATTTCGTTGAGAGGTAGTCAGTGAGAGCACTATAAGCTAAAGAAATGTTTTAAATCTATTGGTTTTCTATGAGTTTCAATGAGGTAATAAAGCGGAGTATTTATTTGTGAGATGTATAAATACTCTCAAGCTATGTCATATACAAGAACGTTTTTGAATTGAAAATTGCCAGAAGAGCCAACAAGATCCATATTTCCTTTTCACATCTTCTACACTTCCTTTCCTTAATCATGGTGGACTAAATATCGATTACGTTTTGTGTTTTTAAAAAAAAAAGACATTAATTGCCAGGTATTTCAAAAAATCACCCCCCAAAATGGAGTGGATTGCCTTCCATAGGTGGTCTTGTTTAAGTCATTGCTAGGTGTGATATTAATAAAAACTAAAAAAAATATCAGCAATGAAGTCCCCAAGCTGCCTTCTGTAGCATTTAGCCCTGTTAAATGCATCGGTTAGCATCATATGAATATACTTTTGTATCAGTTGTATTCCTGCACTAAAGCTTTGCCAACAGTTGGTTAGAACAATGGAAAGGGGTTATGACCGGTAATAAATTCAAAAGAAGAGGAAAAACCCTAATAACTCACATACATTTTGAGCTTGTACACTTCAAATGATAAAAGAAACAAAACATACTGGTTTAATATGATTGGAGGAGAGCTTGTTAGTAAAAACTGCAGTGGACTGAAGTTACGGCTAAGAAATGTCCAGCTTCCAAAACACTGTGGAAAAGTACTGTGGATGATTCCATGAGGATGTTTCTGGATTATCTGTGAGAGTCTATTCTGTGTCTCTGATTGGTCAGTCTGTGGTTTTGTAATTCTGTGATTGGTTGTCCACAGCTTGGGAAGGGGCCATGTCAACGAGGAGATCAGTTCGAGGTATCAGAGTGCACACTACCAGGGCCTTCTGTAGGGGAGATCACAGAGGATGGAGTCGTAGCATCATGCCATCCCCCATTACCCTGAAAACAAAACAGAAAAAAAAAATTGTAATTCATTTCACAGTGAAAAAAAAGAAAAAGAAAAATGAAACAATGAATGGTGGGCAAAAGAGATTTGTTTTAAGTATTTTTTGTTTTTGTAAGAAGTCTCTTATGCACTTTATTTTATGCTCCATATTTTTATGAATGTTGAAAACAGCTTTTTTTTTAATGGAAACTGTGATACACTACCATTCAAAAGTACAACTTAAACGAAAGAAATTAAGAAATAAATACTTTTATTTAGCAAGGATGCATTAAGTTGATCAAAAGTGACAGTGAAGACATTTATAATGTTACAAAAAATATTTTATTTTATTTTATCAAATAAATGCTGCTCAATGAACTTTATATTTATATATTCATAATTAATATAGAATTATGTAAAACAAATACAGATAATCTTTCCTAGTATTCAAAAATTCACAGGAAGTGCGGGTGATTATTTGTCTGCTTGCAGTGAAGTGTGAGTCCTAATCCTGGTGTGTACATGTGAGTGAAGCATGCATACATATGCATACTAATGCATTAAGAAATTAATAAGAGAGCCTGTCTCCTCTGATCTACTGTCTGACATGCCGACGGCCATCTTGCCACGCTAAACCCACTTTGGCTTCTCCCTCTCTCGGTCCCTGCTTCCCTCGCTCTCAGAAAACAAATTCACATAAACGTTGTGGCCAATGGGAGCGATTGCTGAAATCAATGTCTAATCAGATTTCAGCGGTGGGCCGACAGCTTGTCACTCCATATTTTGATGTCAGTCAAGGGGAGGGAGGCCGGGGCGGGAGGGGGTTAGCTGGAAGGATGCTGAGTGGAAGCGACGGTGCAGGCCTTTCCTCCACCCTGCTCGCCTGAGTGCTCCCGACTCAATCGCCTGGCTCTCAGTGGAGGCTAGCTTTAGCTGGATTTCTTCCCTTCAAAACAGTTAAATCCCCCACCTAAGTCAACCCTCCCTCTCCATATCAACACAACAAATGGTTAGAGGATGCCAACGGTCCCAACTAGTAGGTCATGACAGGACCACAGAAAAAATACCAAATTATTATTTTTTTGACTATTTGTGACCCTGGACCTGGTTTGTTAGGATAGGACAATATTTGGTCGAGATACATCTATTTGAAAATCTGGAATCTGAGGGTGCCAAAAAAATCTAAATACTGAGAAAATAGCCTTTAAAGTTGTCCAAATGATGTTCTTAGCCATACATATTACTAATCAAAAATTAAGTTTTAATATATTTACAGTAGGAAATTTACTAAATATCTTCATGGAACATGATCTTTACTAAAAGAAAAATCAATAATTTTGTCCCATGCAATGTATTTTTGGCTATTGCTACAAATATACCCCAGCGATTTAAGACTGGTTTAGTGGTCCAGGGTCACATGTAAAAATATTTGGTCCCAAAAGCAGTGAATTCACTCAAAAACTGCAGTATTAAATGTTTAATTATTCAGTAGAAGTTTGTAAAATTAGGCAGAAGCCAACCTGAGAAAATGCCCTCGTTCTTGAAAACCACAAAGAAAACTTTATAAGGTAAAGGAAAATGTCAGACTACATTAAATATAACTAAAAAGGATAAATATGGTGAATCAATGGCCTAATAATAAGTAAAATATAATTCATAAAAAAATAAATATGGTGAATCATTGCTTAACATAATAAATTATAATATTATTATTAATAATACTAATAATAATAATAAACAGTCAACAAACAAACAAACACATTATATATATATATATATATATATATATTAAACAGTCAACAAACAAGCAAATAAATAAAATGATGAGCATGGTGAACATGGCGAACCATTGGCTTCATAACAAAATTATACAAATAATTATACAAATAGTAAACATGGTGAATCACTGTTATATATTACAATAATATTATACAATGATGATAATAATAATAATAATAATAATAATAATAATAATAATAATAATAATAATAATAATAATAATAATAATAATAATAATAATAATAATAATAATAATAATAATGATAATAATAATAATAAACTATGCTTAATTTTATTTAACTTTTTTGTACAATGAACATTTGAAGGAATTGTCACTTCATGTGAAATCTGGATCCTGAAGCAATACTAGTTGAGAACTACTGCCATATGCTGATTTGCTAATGAGGTGTTTGGTTATCAAAACAATCTGTCTTTGTTTCTATATAAAAATCATGGGGAGATGTTTGTGCCTGTGCATGTGTGTGTGTGTGAACGGGGACTGTTCAGTGGTGGAATTAGCATTTTGCTGATTTAGAGTTCCTGGAACAGGTCAATAAATAGATTGTGCTAGTCTCCTCCAGCCACAATGTCTGGACTGATGCTGAAACGCGAGCGTTATGAGGAAGTCTGCTGTACCCTGATGACATGGATCACTCGCATTCAGCCTGACACACACGCACACAAACACACACACACACACACACACACACACACAC